GTAGAGAGCAGCGCAGCCCGGAGTCGACTCAGCTCTGTTGCTCTTGTAATGCATTTCTTTGGCGTGACCTCACCGTACTGTCAGCCCTGTTGGTTGACGAAAATCTGTTTTATTGCCTCGCAACGAATCGGAGGTCATATCGACGGCCTTTCCACTGTGTGGTAGGTGCACGTTGTTTTATGGCTGAATTAATGTAGCTACCTGTGCGGCCTGCAAGCCGGAAAGCAAAAGTGCTTTGGCTGTGACCTAATAATGCGTAATGCCTATAATTTCCGCTAGACAATGGACATCGTAATGTGGCATTGAGGTCAAGGTCACCGAGTGCTTCACCTGTGCAATTTAATGGCATTAATATTTGTAGCATGGCAAATCGAAGGACAAAATATGTATTTACTCTCATTTTCTTTCTTATATTTTCGACTTGCAATTGTTGTCGATATTTTATGTTTATGATTTGAGATCGGGCTGATAATTATAGGCTCTACCGGAACGAAAGTCGTTTACGTTTCATATTTCTACAGAATTTTTCTCTTCTTATTGATTTGCTATAAATTGATCTGGGCTAAGCGATCATCTGTCTCTATTTTAAGAATTAATGTATTTATATAAAATATTTGTTAAATGAATATTTAATTTATAAATTTCCTTAATATTTGTCAACTGAATTTATTTAATTCCCGATAATTCGAAACTTACGTTTGCTTTTCGATATACACAGAAATTATATTTATCGAAAATTATCGAGAACGATTTTTTCTGAAGGAGATAGAACTTTATTGATTTACCGCGATTTTCGATTTAGCAGGGTACAAATATTCGGCGCTCGACTGTAGTATGTTTAATATGACATACGGAGTACTCTAAGAGATCTGAAGCAGCAGGAAGAAGGAATACTAAAATTCATGTATTTTACGTTAAGCAATCAAATAGGTTGTGTGATATGCAAATATTCACACATATAAATATTTAAAATTAAGAGGTAGGCAAACTGTATTCAAGACTTGAGTCAGTTAAATCGAGATCCTGGTCAACAAGCTTGGGTTGGGCTCGTCGATTAATGCGTTGGCATTGTAAATTACAACAATATGCTCAAGGTGGAACACCCGCTAAATTCAAAACGATATTAAATTATATAAAGTGCCGCCAGCGAGGCCGCTGCCGTGGCGTCGGCTGTCTCTGATGACGGTTGGAGTTGCCTAATTAATTTCCATTACAACGTGCTGCGAGTTGCAATTTCGCTACGCAACGGGGAAAAAAAACGAGCGACAAAATCCAGAAATACATAAAACAGTGCTGCCCCGCCCATATGTGGGGTGTGGTGGGTGGCTGGTGGCTGGTGGGGCTGACTGGAGGCGATTAAATTAAGTGGCGCATTAACAATTGCACTGCCAGGGACAAACTAAATCATTTTGACGCCACTTGCTGCGCGTCACAATTCACACAGAAATTCGTGTAGCCGAGAGTGCAAGTGGATGAATAGAAGAGTGGAAGATGAGTGGAAAGTTGGCAGCGTGAATCGCGAGCTTTTGGGCAATTTGTCAAGCCGGCAATTGGCCGCTCTTTGATGGGGTTGACGGGGGTGTGCGGCGGCAGCTTCTTTAGACCAAAACGTGGCACTCAGTGAAATTGGCTCATTTGCATTCGAAATTTAAATTAATGCAAAACCGCTGAAAATGGCAAAGTTGGGCAAAACTTTTGCTACCGGCCGACTGTTGGCTATTGCAGGCCGTGGCTGAGGATAGGGGATGGGGGATGGTGAGCTGGTGGGATGGGCGGTGGGTTCAGGGCGATCATAAATATTCGCTGGCGCTCGTTAGAGGCTGCCAGCGAATGGACGCGAACGCGGACGCGACTTCCTTACTAACTACGCACAGAAAATCAAGTGGGGAAAAATGCTGCGGCAGCAGCTGCTGCAGCAGGAGCACCAGCACCAGCGAAGCAGCAACAACAGCAACAGCAGCGCAAAATATGTGGCCAGGGCCTGGGCAACTTTCTTGCCGCAGTTCCTTATTTCTTATTCCCAGGAGCCAACAACAACAGCAACAACAACAGCAACAGTAACAGCAGCGGCAAAAAGAGCAACATTAGAAGCGGAATGGAACAGATGGAGGGGAGCGCGCGTGAGTGTATATGTGTGCGCGTAGAACATCTTACTCGCTTTTTAAAATGTCCAATAAAAATTGCCGACACATTTCGCCCATATTTCTTCGGAATCCCATATAAATCACGCGCTGTAATCCCTCATGCTATCGCCGCGTCGTCTTGGCTGCCGCTGTCGACTTTGCCACCGCCGCCGCAGAGGACAGCTGGAGAAAGAGAGAGGGGGGCGAAGCGGGCAGGAGTGGATGCGGCTGCGGGTCTGGGTCTGGGTTTGGGTATTGGGGCTAGGGTTCGGTTTCGGGTTCGGTTTCGGCTCTGAGTTTGGCAGTTTTGGCAATAAGAAAGTTTTTCTTTTCTTTGGTATGCCAGGCTCTGCATTGGCTTTGTTTAGGACCCCGCATCCCGCCACGGGCACCGGATACGGGAGCTGGGTCTGTGTCCTGGTCTAGGGTGGGTTTCGGGCTCGCCCACTCTGCGTGCGCTCGAAGGCCTCATTATGGTGCCTGCGATTATTTGAAATTGCAAAAGTTTATTCATTGTGGGCGGACAGGAATGTGTGGCATACGTAAGATCGGAAGATGTATGTGCTCTATACAGATAAATCAATAACAATACATGTGCTGAATTCAGATTTCAATTCAACTGTATCCACTGGAAATTTATATAAATTCACAAAATCTCTAACCTATTCCTCCTTTTTGGGAAATTTATTATATATATTATATTGCTAGAAGGAGTTAACATATATCTTTGAAGTACAAATTCAATTGAATTGTTGGCATTTGAATTCTGGTTTAATTAAGTTATTTTTCGAAATTGAGACTTAATTATTATTATCATGAAAGTATTTGATTTGTATTCAAATGTTCATTTGTTAAATTTAATTTTGAATAAATATTTTTAAATTTATGTTTCATTTAATTTGATGTAGATATCATGCAAAATAATAATTTACAAAATAATATTTTATTATTTCAATTGAAGACTAAAAATACCTGAAAATGTCCTTTTTTTCTAATAGTGAAGCAAGAAAAATACATCTTGTTAATTTTGTTTGAATTCAAAATGTTCATAATACTCAAAATAAGTCTAAAGTTGAATATAAATTTATTTGTTTGCTTAATAAAATACACACAAGCAACACAAATATTCTTTAAACTAAATTGAAAATTAAGTTTGCATGACTTAGGGGCCAATGTCTTCCGCTTAGCATCTTAATTATGGAGAGTGGCAACAGCCATGCATCATCTTTAAGTGGAGAGGGGCTGCAGCTCGTATGCTGGCTCCTTTGCTAATGTGCCGCTCCTCCACCCACTCCAGAGCTGCAGTTAAATCCGAAAAGCGCGATGCGACGCGCTTTATGAACTCTACACACATGCAAGCATTTTAGTGTGTGTGTGTGTGTGTGTGGATGCGTGTTGCTATCAACACCAAATAAATGTACGAAACACGCGAGAATAATGCGCGCATATTGTCCAAATTTGTTCTCTATAAATTTTATTAACAAAACACACAACGAGAACAAAAAAATAAAACAAAAAAAAAAAAAACAACCAAATAAAATGAATTTCGCGCTGCTTGTTTACCGGGAAAGTAGCGCAGGACCGGCAGGATTCCGGATATGCACGGACTTGAGAGTGGCTCGCTTTACGGAACAGGGCTCGATGGTTCGGTTCAGTTCGGTTCGGTTGGTTGGTTGGTTGGTTTGTTGGATGAATGTTGGCGGCTGGTGGAGTATTTCTGATGCTGCCGAGAGGCAAAAGAACTATGTTTGGCGAGAGATAAAGCAATAAATTCTGTCAGAAATTTAATTTGATAATAAATCTTTGGTTCTAGCGCTACGGAATTTATTTGGCTCGCACTCACGCACACACACACGCACACATTAGTGTGTATATATATATATACAGCACATGTATATGTGTATATGTATATAGAAATTCGTGCACATAATAAAACAAAAAGGGCGCAAAAAACGTGCGTGCACGCCAAGGATGAATGAGGATACCAAACATGACACTTATGGATGTTCCAGCACACACACACACACATATACTTTTGGGTAGACAAGGACTGCGTCGGTGTTGGCGACATTTGTCGGGCTTGTTGCCTCTTTATCCCTTTTCAAAATATCACCTACACCTATGCAGTACAATAATGTGTTTATAGACGCCTGTGTATGTGTGACTGTGACACCGCCCCGTCAGCTGGCACATAAAATGGTTTCTAATCCGGCTAAGGGCCAAAACCACTCACGCTTTCAACTGCCATTTGGCCTTATCATATGAAAATTGCCTCAAGCGTTGATAAGTTTTTCAAGCACCTTTCTCAATGTTCATATACACACACACGACCACAGATTTAAGGCACATGATCAAATGACTTATATTTTGACATGCGCAGTCTATTCATAAAGGTAAAGTTAGGAGCAATATTCCTTGCCATTTATTAAAAATGTCTATTTTTTAATAATCATCAACTCATGATATCAAATCACAAGAAATATAATATTATAGTATACTTTTAGGCACACTCAGAAAAAAACATTGCCCAATTTCCAAGCTCCGGAACGTATGCCTCAGAATCTGAAAATACTTATCAGTACGTTTGGATTATATTTTCATGTATTTCGTCTATTGAAATAGGTCAATCAAAATATCGATAAGAAATAGAAGTTCCAACACTATTTAATCTATATAAACAAAAAAGTCAACCAAAATATCGATGAGAAATATATTATTGAACATTTATTTCAAGCATATTTTCAACACTACTTAATCTATATATAATCAAATTTAAATAAGTCAAACAAATTACATTAACATTTGTTACAAGCATATTTTAATCTATATATAAACTAATGACGATGTTCCTAGTATTTATGAATAGAGAAAATATAGTCTAAATATTAACATAACACTTAAAGGGATAAAAATCGTTTTAGATGCTCAAGTGATATTCTATCGGCATTGTTCTCATTGAGGTAGATTATGTCCTGCAGCAAAATAGGCCTCATCCAATCTACGGCACGCAGTGTATAGCTTCAAAAATTAAAAATGAAATTACATAATATACCAAAATATAAAAAGAAATCAGGGAAATATGTGTCTATGATTACCCTCTTGGCAAAAGGTTTATAAGCTCAGATCTTGATATCCATGTTCCATAGTATGGACTTATTGTATATTTATCGTAGTTGAAGGTTTGATAAAAATTAAAATATTGCTGGAGTGCGTCTTGTATGGTTTGCGGGTTGACATCGACCATTTGTATTCCCAATTCCACATGAGAAAGGTTGTTAAATTTAGTTATTACGGCTTGAATAAAAAACAAACAAACATTAGTGTTAATGTATACCAACTGAAATTAATGCGAACTTACGCCCCATGTCCGGAACTAAATTTTGTTGCAAGTTTTTAACTGGGGGCAAAAGCTGTGATATTTGAAGGAAATAAATCACCATTAAAGTGTGCAAATGACTTCGCAGCTGAAAACTTAGCAGAAGACTTCTCGTTCTGTCCCGCAGATAGTGAACCATATAGCGACCTATACAGAGATAGGGTAAGATTTCTATACAGATATTACTGAGATGTCTATTAAAAAGATATTCTCACCAATTGGCTGCAAATCAAACATATAACTAACAAGCAGATCGCGCGCAGGAGCCGCTCCTTTAGAGAAATTTATATCCACTTTGATCTTGGATTGAATGTGGGTCAGGCATATGATGGGAACTCTGGTATCGACAAGTGTGTTAACTATTTTCCAAGTTTGATTCGCTTTTTTGTGAAGCACGTCAACAGTCGCATACAACTGCTGAACTGCCGTTTGTGCTGGATATTCTGAAAGAGACAAATCATTTCAATTTTCTTATTTGTGTGGATTCGAATAGAGACTTACCAATATGTGCAAACATGTCTAGGTCGGAATTCTCATTGCCAACTCCTACCACTCGAGAGCCAAAGCAGTCAACGTTTGTTGTCTTATTGGGAAATGCCTCTTTGAGTACCTTGATCACATCGTATTTGATCTCTTGTATAATCGGCGAGAATCGCAGCTGATTCGCTGCGTCAACCTGCCGAACCAACTTCGGCCAATAGTTCTTGGATTGCCCTAAACGCAAAAGCTTGTATTTTATTTTCATTCTCTAGAGGCCCTACATACCAATATCCTCCTGCAACTGTAACATTGGGTAGCTCTAGAGGTACACAAAACATGACGTGAAATGCAAACATTATTTAAATATATTAACATATTTACAATTTCATCTGCTGAAGCTCTGCACATTAATCCGAAGAGTGTTATCCACAAAATCATATTCCTTTTATAACTAAAATAAATTGTTATTAGATCTTGTCACAGTAGCGAAATTCCATCCACTGGCGCTTGAGTTCAACTGAAACGATCGTTCTCATTGACTAATGAGACTCTCGATTTGACACAGCCAGAAGTAAACTGATTATGAACGTATTGTTGACACTCGACAACGATTATCTAATCCCCTTCCAAATAACAAAAAAAAGCACAAATATAAAAAAGTATAAAACATAATTGTTTGGATATTAAAATTAAAAAAATGAAATATAATTTAGTAAATATTTATTTTCTAGAATTTATTTTATTTATATTTTATACAGAACATGTTCACAAAATTATAATACTCTCTCAAATGCAGAGTAACCACAGCTCAATCTCAACAGCCTCATTTTCCCTCCCTCTCTGCTATAAGCATTCCACTCTGTTTAATTTACTTAATTTAATCATAATGAGCAAAACAAATTCACATAACATGAATTTTTTCTTTTAACCAATGCTATTTACAAAATTATATAATATTATGGAAGAGTTCATTTAACTGTGTATTTTTATTTATTTCTGTATATTTACCTCTGTTCCTTGGAGATGAATAGAATCGAGAATTTTACGCTTATTCTTAACAAAACAACATGAGTGAATAAATATTTTTTTTATCAATAAACACATCTTTTGCGTTGTGACTCTCAGTTTGAGATTATTAAGAGAGCTACAAGAAAATATAAACAAGAGCAAACACACATATACATACGTATGCATCTATACGCTCACAGGCATAACTTATTTACTTGAATAAATGTTCTCTTCAGAATTTTTTAGAGAACAAATTTCTAAAAAAGTTACAAAATAATAAATTTATGTTATATTAATACTCTCTCAAATGCAGAGTAACCACAGCTCAATCTCAACAGCCTCATTTTCCCTCCCTCTCTGCTATAAGCATTCCACTCTGTTTAATTTACTTAATTTAATCATAATGAGCAAAACAAATTCACATAACATGAATTTTTTCTTTTAACCAATGCTATTTACAAAATTATATAATATTATGGAAGAGTTCATTTAACTGTGTATTTTTATTTATTTCTGTATATTTACCTCTGTTCCTTGGAGATGAATAGAATCGAGAATTTTACGCTTATTCTTAACAAAACAACATGAGTGAATAAATATTTTTTTTATCAATAAACACATCTTTTGCGTTGTGACTCTCAGTTTGAGATTATTAAGAGAGCTACAAGAAAATATAAACAAGAGCAAACACACATATACATACGTATGCATCTATACGCTCACAGGCATAACTTATTTACTTGAATAAATGTTCTCTTCAGAATTTTTTAGAGAACAAATTTCTAAAAAAGTTACAAAATAATAAATTTATGTTATATTAATTATTATTTCATATTTTTTATGCGTCCATATACAAAATTAAATGATCGAATGTAAGTTATGACCAAACGTAAATAAATATAATACAAATATATTTATATTTATATATTATATTTCTGCAATTATTGTTGTTGAAAAGCACTTCGTAGGCGTAAATAGGATGAGCTCTGCCAGAAGTTTCGAAAACAAACTGTTTTCTTTCTTTTTTTTCATTATTTTTGTGCAGAATCAACAAACAGGGAGAGCAGAGAGTTGAAAAACTATTGGCGTCATCGTGTTGTCGGTGGCACAACATTCATCTTCCTCGCGCCGGAAACGCCATTGGAAAACTCAGCAGTAGCAGTGGCTCTGAGTCGGCACTCTGGGCACAGAGTCTGCTGTTTTTCGCCAGAATTTAAATAAAAAGTGAATTTCTCATTTCGGGGCTGCTGCGGCTCCTGCTGCAGTGCTGTAGCTGGAGCCAGCGGCAGTGAGTGATGGTTGCTGCTTGCTTACAGATTGAATGGAGTGCTTCCGACTTCCGGATTCGGGTTCAAATGCGAGCGCTGCACTTTCGTCTGGAAAACTGCAGTGCACCGCAAAAACTTGACAAACATTGCGCCCAGCAGCCGTATCCTGCCCTCGCCAGTTCCCTTGGCAGCAGCCACTGCTTGGATTGACTTTGACTTGGCCAAGTTTCTCATCTTGGGGCTGGCAACTTTTTGCTGTAGTTTCGTTAGCAGCAGCAGCAGCAGCAGCAGCAGCAGTGACTCCCGCGCAGGCTGACCGAACTGCAGACACTGTGTCTGCCACCCGGCCATAAATCTAAGAGTGCGTCCTGGCCGACGCACTCGTCCTGCAATATATGTATATAGAAAATGAAATGATTGCGAAACATCAAAGTGTTGGAGCTCACGGTGCGCCAGCTGAGAGTAATGTCTTCTCTGTTTTCCATATTTCTGTTGCGGCAGCCAACCGTCAACAGCTGGCGGCCAGTTAAATTGCCTCGGCTCATTCGGTTATTAAAGTCATCCAAGAGCGCACCGGAAGCTAAATGGGAAGTGTATTAGCTGGCAAAGCGGAAACGTATTAACTGATCACATATCTCGGACTCCTGTCCAGCATCAGTACCAACGCCGAGAACAACAACGAACCGACATCGACACCGACACCGACACCGACACAGCAGCGACAGCAACACGGTTATTGCTGGCTGCAGCAGGCGCCACTGCAGCAGGAAACGCAGTTTTGGCTGCCCGCCCGTCTGGTCATCCATTGACGCAAGTCCGCAGCTGTTTGCTTGCCCCAGCCTCAGCACCATCATGCCACATTGCCAGCCGGGCAAGGATGCTCTTAATTTATGGCATTGAACTTTTATTGGGCGAATTTCTGTTCATTTCCATGCGTGTATTAAGAATAATGGATGCATGTGCCGGAAGTGCTTCATTTGAAAAAGGACGAATCTGTTGCCAGTGTGCCCAAGGCTATGCAGACGTGTATAGATATGCAAGTATCTATCGATATACATAAATTTATTTAAATAAAGCTGTTTATTCTCAGTGAATATTTGACTGACTGATTGATTTTTCAGATGACTTCATATAATAATCAGGAAAATTGAAATAGAACTTAGCTTAGCTTATTTGAAGTAATATCACTCAAAAGAGAAGTACACAAAAATAACAGAATAGTAAAGCTCTCTCTATCTCTCACTCTCGTTCTCATATCATCTCGCATGTCTATCTCTCTCATTCACAATATATATCTTTTCGATCAAGTTCACTCTCTCTCCAACACTCTTTATCCCATTCCCAGTTTTAAAATCTCCCTTAAATATTTACCCGACTTAGTAAAAAGAATCGAAGCTTCAGTTGTCGTTAAATATATATAATTAAATTAATTACAAAATATTTTTGCTGATGTATATTAACAATTGTGCGACTTCATTAAATTTACGCATTCATTTATCATGAGTCCATTTCTGCGAATGCCATACAAATGTGCAAACAATGCAATGCTGTGGTTAGCACTGCTCTGCAAAACACAAATGCAATGGAGTTTATTTATAGATTGTATGAGAGAGGTCCACTAAATGGTCTTTAAAGACCAAAAGGTCCGTGACCCAACTGATGTATTTTTTGGAACCAATTTTTTTATTTATCCCAATTGTATAATCTAAGAAAAAATTTTTATTTTATAATCTGTCTTTTTTTAAATTAAATTATAATAATTATAGAGAAACTACTGGAAAGTCGAGATTTATTAGAATTTCGAGTTCATATGCAGAACATATCCAACAGAATTCAATGATAAACTCGCTCGGCTGGGCTGGTAAATTCAATAAAAAATCACAGTGCAAAGAGTTGCATTTGCCACCGTGCAACCGCTAGGCGTTGCAAGTGCGTTTATGGTTTGATGATTTACAGTCACAGCCATAAATATTCGCACGGCCAGTGCGCACATTATTCGCGATTTATGCTGCGCCGCCATAATTCATGCAACAGCACATGTAAAATTTATGCAATTATTAATTTAACACTCCCACGCGCCACCCACGCCTTTCCACTCTCGACTCTCTACTGACCCACTCTAGCTCGTAGTATCAGCTAAAAACTGGACACAAAGGCAGATCTATCTAATCTGACCCAGCTAAGCGTTTTGGCCGTACAAACCAATTTGGGGCGACAATGCAACAAATGAACTGCTGGCAGTTGGGCTCGTTGGTGGAGCGAGCTTCACCACCCACCCACCAGTGCACCACCGCTGCACCACCAGCCGGCTGTGGAACCATAATTTACCCGACGAGCAAAAACACTCACGAAAATAATAAATGTCCAATATGTTAGCCTGGCTGGCAACATGGCAAAGTCGGCAAAAGAAACCAGCGCCCACATAGCATTAAATCGACAGAGGCAACAACAACAAAAACAACAACAGTCGCAGCAATAACAACAATAAAAAAAAAAACTCCCCATTCATTTGGCATGTGTGAAACAAACAGCAGCTCCAAAGCGTGGCAGCCTAGAAGCTGAGGCTGGTCGGCCGGCTACGGTCCAGTGAAGGTTCGTCCTGGGGCTGGAAGTAACTGCCGCAGCCCTTAATGCAGGCCACCTGCCAGGCTCGAGTGGACGGAGCGGACGGACTGAGTCCGGCTAGAACATGGACAGCATGTCGCTCCATTAATTTGCCATAAAACAGAAGTGGACTAAAATTTGTTTGTAGTTGTCATTGCTGTTGTTATTGTTGTTGTTGTTGTTGTTGCTGCTGCTACGGCTACAGCAAAAAATTACAAATGACACCAAGCACACAAAGATAGTTGGAGCAGCACAGACCCGACCCGTCCTTGCTAATTTATGAACCAAACAATTTTGATGTTCTGTAAAATGTCCACAATGACATATTGAGAGCAGCGCAAAGAGCAGGTGGGAGATAAGCCGAAGATATTAAAAGAACATATCTACGATTGAAACCATTGTCCTGGAATGCATAAATTCAAAGGGAATCGCGTCAGACTCCTCGTTATGTAGTTGCATGTCAACTCCTCTCGTTACGTAGTTTAATCAATAAATTGGCCAAAATTTGCGTTATGGAAAACTTCGAAAAATCTTTATAGAGCCAAAAGCCTTAATTATAAATCGTGCAAAAGTTAAGGGATAAAATGTTTATAGAAATGTAGATTACTTTTATTCAAAATAAATTCACATTTAATGATCCAAATATTCAGGCATGTTTTTTAGAGCAGATTATTAATATTAATTTTTTTTTTTTATATTATTATTAATATTATAAGAACATACGTGCATGTTTAATGCAGGTTTTATGAGTTATTCTTGTCACAGATCGTAAATTATCAGATGTACACTGTCACCGGACAGTGGGATGCTGCAGATGAAGCAATGAGTCCGTCTTTACTGTGAATTATAATAAAAACCAAAATTCTATAAAGTATATATAAGTCCACGAAGATGTAGTTAAGGAAGCTGCATGACCAAAGCTGAAAACTACGAGACTCGATGGAACTTTTGGAAGTATTGGTCATAATTTGTTCGTTCAGAAAAAAATATAACCCCATGAACGACTCTGAAACTGTGCGAATGTGACAAAAACTTTAAACTTGAGTTAGGGCAGCTGCATGACAAAAGCTGCATGCTACAAGGCTCTATATAAGTACATCAATGCCAAAGACTGAAGCTCAAAGAAAACTGTATCCTGTCGAAATAGAAAACATAATCACATTATTCACATAAAAATAAATTCTCTTAATTTAGGTCATCTAGCGAAATTATGCCAGAAGTTAAATGCTATGAGACTGCATGACAGAAACTGAATGAATGAATGAATGACAGAGCTAAATCGACTCAGCTCGTCGCTCGGATCAAGAATATATACACTTTATCGTGTCTGCCACACCTCCTTCTGTCTGTTACATACATTTCAACAAAATCATTCTACCCTGATTTCACATTTTCAATGGGTTCAGGGTATAAAAATAGAGTACCGATTAATAGTAGCTAGCTAGGATTGAGTACTTTATTTTAAATATATAAAATCTCTAAAAAATGAATTTTATAGGTGAGTACATACATAAATATTTGGTTTTAAGTACTATTGAGTAGGTACTGTAAGAGAAAAACTTAACTATAGGATACAACTATTGTTTGTTGAATGAAAACTTTACTTCACTCAATGAGTTCAGGACTAAGCGTAGACATCAAAACTCTTCTGCATGGCTGTTTTAATCATGCTTTCAAAGTGTTGGATATTTGTCAGTGTTGTCAGGCTCTCGGCACACTGTCCGGCATTTGGAGCACTACTGATGACGCCGTACAGGTAGTGGCGGAACCGATCGCGTGAGAACGTCTGTCGAGCGTCTTCGAGCATCTCTCGCTTTGCCGTGAATCCGCCTCCGCTGTCGCCGTGGCAGGCCAGGGATCTACCCTGGGTATACATGCAGAACTTATCAGGACTAATGTCATACAGACTGGCCTGGCATACGGAGTTCATTTGCGATTTAGCTGGTACAAACTGCAGCTCGCGCTTGTCCTTAAAATTCCAGCCAGCAAACTGGCCCTGCACGTCGTTATTGATGGTCTCCTTTTCGGCAAATCTGAAGAACTCCACACACACCGGTCGAATGACATTGCTCAGCTTGTATGGCTCGCTCAGCATGATCAGGGCTATATCGTTTTTGTAATTATCTTCCCGGCCCTTATATTCACTGGAAGAAATAATTGCATTGAGTTTGTGGGGGTCATTAGCAGTAGTATCTATTTGAAACCGTAGGTATTAAAACATAACAGTTTCTTTTTTTGATGTAATATTTTAAGGATTCCGGTATTTCGTTTACTTACGGAGCAACCATAATCGACTCAACGTCCCGCCTCTTATCCTCATTGGTGACATCATTGTAGCCTCTGTACAGCTTGGCGGCAACCACACGAAACGTGTCAACATTGTAAATATGCCTGGTCACCTCGCTGTACACACAGTGGGCAGCCGTGATCACCAGGTCGGGGGTGAGCAGGGAGCCACCACAGACGAAATTGTAGTCCTTCTCGTTGTGCCAGACGTAAATGCCGACGTGCCATGGCACCACCGTGTTGTTGATAGAATATCCGTTGGCTGAGAACTGTTTGATAGGTGTCGCAATCAGGCCACACTCCCGAGCGCAGGGTACGCGCTGACGACTCCAGTAGCCGCCGGCCAAGCACTTCATAGGCGGCAGTGTCAGTATGCTGCTCGATCTGAAGCCGGTAGCGCAGATGAAAGTCACCTCGGTGCCAGGCGGATGGTAGCGTGCGGTGCAGTTGACCGCTTGTCCCTCATATGTGCAAGTGGGGTAAGTCGAGTACCCATAGAGCAGGTTCTTGGAGCGGCCCTCAGAGTCTCGCCAAGTGTCGCAATATTCTGTAGGACAAGGTGTTTTTCATTAGACACATAGACGGTGCTGAACATTGCACTACTCACTCACGCATTTCGGCACCACGTCGAGGCTCCACTGATGATTAGCACAACGGCTCTTGTCCGCGCCCTCCAAAACGTATCCGGGCTTGCAGGAGAAGAAGACCGTTTCCCTGATAATAGGCGGCTTTAGATAAGTGCCGTACTTATCCTTCAATATGGGCTGCTCATCGCCCTGAGGCAATGGGCAACCGGTCAGGTCCGTGGGCAGTACGAGCGTTGGCTGGGTCGTTACTGATGAGGTGTTGCAGAGCAGCGGCGCCTCGTCGGAATTGTCGAAGCAATCTGCTTTGCCATTGCAAGTAAGATCGCCGGCGATGCAGCCGCCGCTGGCACATTTAAAGGCATAGCCCGGGCACTCGATGTGTCCGCAAAACTCGACCGACTCGTCATAGCCGCCACCACAGTCGTCGTAGCCATTACACAGATACATGCTCTTCTCAAGGCATATGCCATTGGGGCACTTCATCTCCTCGTCCCTAGGGCCAATCAGAGCACTGTTCAGATCTGGATAAGCCCAATACACGGACTACTCACTTGCAGTTTTGCCTCAATTTTGACTCAAGCTGTCGCTTGTCGTCACTTGAGCCGCAGAGCATAACCGTCTCGTCCGAGCCATCGACACACTCAACAATGCCATTGCAGGGTGCCGTGCCGATCACGCATGCGCCGTAACTGCACGCGAAGTAGGGTTTAGTGCACTGATTTCGCTGCGACACACAGATGAGGCCCGTTTCGTCCGATCCATCTGGGCAGTTCTTGGTTCCGTCGCATACCTCGAATTTCGAAATGCAGCTGCCGTTATCACACTCGAATTGGATGGCTCCGCAGGCGCCATACACTGACCCTTTTACGTAAAGGAATGATTAATTATTAAATGATGTTTAACTAAAAAAAAAACACAGTGCCTTATATTCTCTGTTGGAATATTCAAAGAGTAGATTAGACAAGTATAAACGCTCTCGGTAATGCATGTATGCAAGTCTACAACGTTTAAACATACATACATATAAACTCGGCTTCTGTCTATCTACATTTATGATATACCGGTCATCGAAGATGTACCCGCTAACAAAAACAATAACAGAGAACTTGCACTCTCTCTCTCTCTCACTCTCTCTCCTCTTTGTGTTTGTCATGCTCTCATACTCAGATCTCTTTCATTGCTGAAAGTTGACTGACAATCACAGATTCTGACTTTTGTATTATCACTCAAGACATGCAACAAGATTGTATGTATGTATGTACGTATGTATATTATACCTTACTCTAATAATTTTATAATTTACTTACTTGCACTAAAGCTTAACAGAGCCGCGCAGATGCATAGTAAATATGACTTTAGCTGCTTCAATAGCATGTTAAAATTCTAAGAATTAACTATATAAAAAAATACAAATAGGTATAAAATATAATATATACTATATACTGCACTATTCTTAGCTGTTTTATATATTATTACGATTCAACTAAGAGGATCGTGCAATTGGGAAGCACCGAACCCATCGACAGCACAACCAGAACTGAGTTGAAAAATATTAAAACAGCATTTGATATGGGAGAAAAGATTTCCAGCATACCGAACTATAAATGCTCTAAGTCTCTTCAGGGTTATGTTTCTAGAAAGTCTCTATGTGTTTACAAAGTATTTATTTGACCATATAACAATATACATATATTTATATTCATATATTTATTTAATATAATCTAAATAGAGTTTTAAAGTAACAATTATCTTGCTCATTTAATTTTGTAAATTTCAAGCATTTAAAATTTGATATACAGTGCATTGGCAAGGGTATGAATTGATAATGTTAAGTGCTAAAACAAGTTTTCAGAAGTAGCTGCTCAGCGCATCTAGAATTTTAAAGAGATTATAGCGCTCTTTGAGGGTTTAAGAGCAGGCTCTTAGCAAAACCTTATAAATTTATGCGAAAACTTTAATTTATGTATTTGCTCAATGTGAACAATAAATACAAAGAAATATTATATTTAATATATAATAGTAAATACAGTTATTTTTTTTAATTTCACAATCTTTAGCCATTTAGTAAAAACCTTTTATTAGTTATTTACATACCCACATTTTTAAAAATATGAATTGCATTTAATTTTTTTTGTAAAATCAGAAAATGTTTTAATGAATTTAACACATTTTATATAAATTTAAACTATCGATAGTTCCATCATGCACTAAACGATGAATGCCATTCATGCAAGTTGACTGAACTAGTTGGTGGCGCCACCTACCGGCCAGTAGACCAACTAAGCGCACTGACATTATACAGCAATCAGCTGTTGCTAGCCTGTGCCAAGCCGAGCGCATTCAGCACTAGATGGCGCTTTTGCATACCGCCCTCTATGTGTCAGCTTTGAAATGATTAAAAAAATGCTTGAGTTTTCAATCAAATTTTTATTTATTTTATTTTGTTTACCACATTCTCACTGGTTGTTTTTCCATTTATTTAAAGTACGTATATTTTATATTGATAATTTACAACTTACGGAACTAACATAGAATGGCGTTAAATTAGAATTACTTAGTATGCGAATACAAACGATTGGATTACCCTACACAAAATGACAATAGAAGTTTCGCTCTCTTAATTTCTTTTTTTTCGGGTATTGCTTGCTCCGTTTATACATGAGTTAGGTTAGGATTAGAAAAAACATTATTAATGTCAATTAGGTTGTTAGGCTCTGGTGAGGGGTCAAGTAAAGAAAGCCACAAGAATGTACAATAATCGTAATGTAGTGTTTTATTAATACATATACATACATACACACACACACTTATGCATGTGTATTACATAAGTAAGTAGTAGGTAAGTTTGTAGAGTGAAATAAATTCTAACGCTGACGCGCTCCGTTCCATTTTTTTTTTTACGTATATCCGTTGCTACGACAATTCACATTTAATTCATTAAGTATTGTATTTTTAGCATCTGATTTATTATTATTATATTGTTTTAATTGTTAATTTTGTTATTTTTTAGGGGAGTGGGGGTGGGGGCTGGTTGGTGCTGGGCCTCTCTTAGCCAAGTATGCCGCGCTTCTTTGTATATATATTTACGTATATGTTTCATTTAAAATCTATAACATTTAACTTATCTCTTACGTACTGTCATCTCTTTTCTTTTTATGTTCTCTTGTTTTTTTTTTTTTTTTTTTGCAAATATTCTCTTATTGTTGTTCATTTATACTCGGTTTGCATGTAAAGTACATGAATATAAATATATATTTATTTATATATATGTATGTATATATATAGAGATTTATGTATATATATTTTATCTGTTGAACCTTATGCGCTAGTTACGTATACATCTTGTGAAGGTTGCTTGGTTAGCCCTTAAGTGAATCGAACTGAAAATAGTATCTCGAGCACAGCTCGGTTGCGCTATCGATAGTCGAAGATCGATTATGTTATCGGTATGGGTAGCATCTCTATTCAACTTACGAACAATCAACGAAAACGAGATCAAAAGCAATTTCGCATGCACAATAAACAGAGGCCGTGGTTACGACCCGACGATATCGAAGAACTCTAAGCTCTATAATTCTAAGTGGAGACGAAACGAAACAACAAAAATTGCAACTAAAATAATAACACAATTCATTAATTCGTTTTTCTTTGATTTTTTTTTTCTTTTTTTGTAGATTTTTTCAAAACCAATAATTTATTCGTTTTGCCGTAGCAAAATTTTTGTTTTTGTTTTTCTGCTTTGTTGTTGTCAGATAATCTCATAAACGCTTTTCATTAAACTAAACATAATAAAAATAGGATTTAATTTAGTTTAAAAAAACTTTAAAAATTACTTAAAGAAAACAGCTTCACGTTTGTGGTTGTATGTTGTTTGTGTTGTTGTTGCACGCTTAAAAAGCCTTAGACGAAAACTAAACAAATTAATTTAAAATTAAACAAAGTTAACTAAAATTGCATTAATTTTAAGCACGAACTATACACATTGTTTTTATTATAATAATTCTCTCGTTTTAAGTTATTTATTTACCTTTATATTATTCATTTCTCGTTTTTATTTTCATTTATATATATTTTTATTTTAAATATACTTTTACTTTGCTAACAAATTCTATTTATATTTAAGTTAAATTTTCAATAGTTTCGTTTTAAGTAATTTTTTTTTTTTTAAATTATTTACTTTTTTTAGTGTTGAATTTCAATTGGTTTAAAAACGCGTATTACAAAAATTCATATCAACAGAATTCAATAATTACCCTTTAACATTTTGAGTATTTATTTTGATTTTCGAAACGCTTCTCTATTCGAATTAAAATAATATAATTTAAACATAGCAGTAAGCAACAAAGGGGATTTTTTTATTTTTTTTAAATTTGTTTTTGTTTTTGTGTGTGGACAGGGACAACATGTGAACAGAATTTTTGAAAAGTAAATTTGTTGCTCGTTTTAAACATAAATCTTACGCGGGCAAACAATTTTCAAATTTGAGTTTTAGTTTACTTCTAACACTCTTTGTGGAATTTAAATTAAATTTGCATTTTGTATTCGTATGCATAAAGTTACGTATGTATGTATCTAGGTAAGTAGATTTCTTGTGTTCTTTCAACTACTTTTATATTCAATTTGTATTTTTTAGTTTTTAGTTTTTAGTTTTTTATTTTCATTTTCTTGTTGTTTTGTTTTTCATTTACTTAGAGTCTACGAAATTTATTTGTAATTTTTGTTGCCGTTTGCTGCTTTACGTATTTTCGGTTGCTTTTCAAACAATTTGAAATAGTTGCTTTATATATACCATACAATATCAATATGATTATTGAATTATTCAATTAATTTAAGTTAAGTAAATGGTTTATTTGTTACAATATTGTTGCACTGGATGGGATGCAGCAAGTTGAATTCGTTCTAGTTCTGATCTAAGTGCCCGCCCTGCACAGCCGCCGCCGCGGCCGCTGCTGCCGCTGCCTTTTGCGCCTGCGCTTGCTTCTCCTGCTCGTTGAGTTCCTTGATCGCCTGGATCTCCTTTTTCAACTTCATTCGTCGGTTCTGGAACCAGATCTTAATTTGTCGCTCTGTCAAACACAGCGCGTGCGCCATCTCGATTCTCCGTCTGCGGGTCAGATAGTGATTCGTGTGGAACTCCTTCTCCAGCTCGAGCGTCTGGTAGCGGGTGTATGTCTGTCGGCCGCGTCTCCTCAGCCCGTTTGTGCCTGTTGAACACAAATGAAATAACAAATTAGTCTAGTTTCAATGGACATTGAATGCTAAATTCCACATATTCAGATGCATTGACAAAGCAAGAAAGTTCATAATACTGAAATTCCCTACAGTCTATTTACTTAGTCAGTAGATGCAGGGTATTCAAATGCATTGACAAATACATATTCAGCGAGTGTGGGTTCAATTGCCTCATTTGGCTCGTTTATAAACATTTCAACAGCCGTATTAAATTGAAAAATCATTTCGCAAAATTTGCAACAAAGATCATTTGTTTTTTGATGCCTTTTGTTTTTGTTGCTGCTGCTGTTGTTGTGCTGCTTTTTTTTTGTCGTTGTCAAAGACATAAATATAAATTTTTCAGCAACGATCAGCAACATTTTGACGTAGGCTGGCAACAAGAAACCCAAACAAAACACAACAGCAAAAAAATACATTTCATTTTTATGGCCAATGGCTGCTGGCTCAGAGCTCTCAACTCTCAGCTCTCAGCTCTTAGCTTTTGGGTCTTAGCGATTGCCTGTTGGCAAGCCCGTGGCTTGCAGTTGCAGTTGCTGTTGTATCTGTTTCTTGGGCGCAGAGATCGTTACTTTAAATTGAACGTTTGCTGCTGTGCTGCCGCCAAGCGACGTTCAAGCGGCTGTCAGTTGAGCTGCATGTTGCATGTTGCATGCCGCACGCTGCATTCGGCATATGCTGACTGGCTGCCTTTCAGTTGTCTGCCACTTAAATTGCAGTTATGCCATTGTAATGCAACTTTAATTGGCCAACCACAAAAGTCGCCAACAGCACATGGAATGTGTTTGCGCTTTAACAGTTCCCTCTCTCTCTCTCTCTCTGTCTCAGTCTCTCTTTTTCCCTCTGCCTCTCTCTCGCTGTCTCTCATTTCGCAGGCTTTGCTATTCTACCGTGTTAATCTCTGATTTTAAATATTTATGAAGTTTAATTTGCCTCAAGTGCAATAACTCAATTTTATGTGCACACAGACACACTCACACTCACACACACACACACGCATTCTCGACTGCATTATGCACAATCAGAAGAGCACAAGAGCTGGAGAGATTTTATCAGCTACTCCACTCTCCATTCGACCTGCTGCCAATGGACAATGTTAAGTAACTTTCGCATTTTATTGGGGCGGTTTGAGTCTGGGCCTTGCCTGAGCTGCCCGGCCAGCTCGGCCTGGCAAAATGTTAA